TGCTGCTATTGTCCTCAAACAATTAGGCCACCCTCGGGCCACTGGGTCAAGCTTTTTTGACAGGTATGCCACAGGCCGCTTCCATGGCCCCAAAAGCTGAGTAATCACTCCCTTAGCCACCCCATTTTTCTCTGTCACATACAAGGTAAAGGGCTTGCTTAAGTCTGGCAGTGCCAGGGCTGGTGCCAATGCAAGTGCAGTCTTAAGCAACTGAAATGCCTGCTGGTGAGCCTCAGTCCATTTGAGGGGTGTATTTCCTCCTGCAATGGCCTCATGTAGGGGTTTGGCAATCTCAGCAAAGCCAGGAATCCAAATCCTGCAATAGCCAACCACCCCTAGGAACTCTCGCACCTGTTTCTTTGAGTCTGGCTTCGGAATCTGGAGAATTGCAGATACTCTCGATTCTGCCAGCCTCCTCTTTCCCTTTTCAAGAACATAGCCCAAGTAGGTTACCTTGGTCCGGCAGAGTTAAGCTTTCTTCCAGGACACCCAATATCCCAGTTCCTGGAGGGCTTTCAGGAGGCCCTCGGTGGCTGCAATGCATTCTTTATCAGTTGAAGTCGCCCACCAGGAGGTCATCAACATACTGAAGAATAGTCACCTGGGGAAACACTTTTCTTACCTCTTGCAGATCTTTGCTGAGAGCTTTGCTGAACAGAGTGGGGGAGTTTTTGAATCCCTGCGGCAGCCGGGTCCATGTCAGCTGTCCAGTTGTTCCGGTGTCTGGGTCAGTCCATTCGAAGGCAAAGAGGGGCTGGCTCACAGGTGCTAGAGGCAGGCTGAAAAATGCATCTTTAAGGTCTAATACTGAGTACCACACATGACCGGGAGGGATGAGACTCAACAGAGTATAGGGGTTTGGTACTGTTGGGTGAACGGTCTCCACCTGGCTGTTTACTTTCCATAAATCCTGTACCGGTCTGAAGTCTGAAGTGTCGGGCTTTTTCATGGGAAGCAGTGGTGTATTCCAGGCTGTCTAGCAAGGGATCAAGGTGCTGGCTTTCTGGAGTCAGTGGATGTGTTTGGAGATCCCCACCTTGGCCTCGTCAATCATTTTTATCTACTAGAAGAACACCGTCTCTTTCTTTCTTAGTCTCTTTCTCTCTCTTTCTTTTTAACTTTTCATAATCTCTCTTGTAATGGCCCCTCTCTTTGCAATATGCACATTGATCCTTCTCTAACAAGGGCCATACTTTACTTTTATCTTTTTTTCTCTCTCTCTGTATTCCTTTCAGATAAAACCTCCATCTGCCAAGGCTGTAATGTTCGCCTTTCCTATCTTTTTAGCCATTCTATCCTCAAAAGGATCCCTATTGTTAAACACCTTCATCGCCACACTCATCAACTTTTTCCTATTCTCTCCCTCAAATCATTCCATCTGCTGCAGTTTCTTTCTAATATCTGGGGCCGACTGAGTAACAAAAGCCAAATTAATTGCCTGTTGATTTGCAGGGGCAGCTGGGTCAATTGGAGTATACGTACGGTATGCTTCCAACAGATGCTCCAGAAAGGCAGAAGGGGATTCCTCAGGTCCTTGAAGGACCTCGCTTACCTTGTTCAAATTGGTAGGCTTTTGAGCGGCTCCCCTCAAGCCGGCTAGGAGATGCTGATGGTAGTTTTGGAGAGCTTCTCTCCCGCCCGAGGAATTAACTTGCCATGGGGGACGGGTGGACAGAAGTTGTGCCTTAACATGGGCCCAGTGTTGCTTATCAAGTGGGCCCTCTGTTTCTCCCAACACTGATTTTATGGCTTGCCCTTGGATCCTTTCTCTCTCCTCAGAGGTGAAAAGGGCTTGGAGAAGTTGTTGACAATCAACCCAGGTAGGCTGGTGGGTGAACAAGACAGTTTCTAACAGGTTAATCAAATCCCTAGGGTTATCAGAGAATTTGGTGTGCTGAGTACGCCAGTTATAAAGGTCACTGGTGGCGAAGGACCAGTAATGATGAGGCTGGTTACCATGCTCATCAGGGGGCCCTATTGCTCTCAGCGGACAAACAGTAGAGTCTCCCGGGCCTGCCAGCAAGGCGGCACACTGGTGGTGAGTATTCTGGGTGGGGCCATCATGGTTGCCGGCACCTGGGGCCGGCCCTCCTTCCCCAGCTCCGGCTGGGGCCGGGTCATTTCTTTCTGCCTGCTGTCATGGGGGAGAAGAGAGAGAGTAAGGGGGGGGAATGAGATCTTCCTCGGTCCCTCCTTAGAGGACTGGGTAAAGCGGCATGGTCGGCTTGGTTTTGGTTTGCCTTTTGTTGTCGTGCCCTCTGGGAATCTTCTCACAGGCTGTCAGGATTACCTCCAGCTGCTGTTTCTGTGGAGGCAAAAAGGGTTTGACCCATGGGGTGGGTCGCAGATTAGACTCTCCCAAGTGACAATGTAGGGAACTTGATCAGGGTGTCCCGTATGAGAATGGAAGATGACCTCTTGGACTCTCTTAGTGGTCCCTAGATCAAAGGTCCCCTCGGGACCAGTTACAAAGGGTGATGAATTTAGTCTTTTTAATTTCTAAACTTAAGTTATGAGAGCACTCTCTAACCTTTTTAAAATGGTTCCTCATGAGGGATAGAGGGGTAGTCACAGTCTGTCCCACCGTCTCAGTCCAAGTCACCACAATAAACAGACAAACAAACAGAACAAAAAAAAACAAAAAATAAGACAAAACTGGCCTCCGCCCGATTGGAGGAAGTACCAGAAATGGGACGACGGCCTCACGCCATACCGCGGGAGCGACCCACACCGTCCCTCCAGGAGTCTTACAGACTCATACCCATGGGGCACTCCATCCCCTCCAGAAGGATCCGGAACATCTTCCAGGATCCCGGGTCGGCAGCCCTCGCAGCACGTCCGCCTAGACCATCTGCCGACCTAACCAGAAATTGGGCCCCCGATTTACAGACAAACAAAGAGACATCAGACACTCACCAGCCAGTGCTGACCCTCCGGTACAGGGATCCTGGGGTTTTGGGGATCCTGGATGAGCCCCCAAATGTTGTGCCCAGATCGCAAAGTCCCCAAAGACCACCAAGGAGCCGATTCCGATGCAAACTCATGAGGGTCATTTATTCAAGCTCAAGCAGGGACTCTCAATTGTCACTGACACAGCAGATCAAGATCGAGAGCCCCAAATTTCAAATTAGCGGGGTTTTTATAGAGGTTACAACAAGGTTTGGAGATTTTCCATTTAGCAGTTACATGATTGGTTGACAATTAGCAAGCATGAAGTGTATATTTTTGATTGGCCAGGTGCATTGGGGGGTTGAGGGGAGGTTACATGTAGGTTTTACAAGGGAAATGAGGGGCAAAGGTTGGTGGTCGACTGTCACATACTGATGGTCAGCAGACACACTGACTATTAGTCACAACCATTACGTACTGACAGTCAGCACATCTACAGATTGTTCTATGGATAGGGGGCCTGGAATGTTCATTTCCTGGGCAAACAGATGGCTGAGTAATTAACTTAGGAACTTTGGTTTGTTACAGATTGTATCTTCTGTCCCAGAGCAAAGACATTTTAACCATTAATTTGAGAGGCTAGGGGAATGGTGGATTTTAGCAAAATGGAGTCACTTTGGTCTCACAGTGTGGTTGTATTCCAGTGATATCAACAGATCTAAGATCTACTTTTGGATTTTTTTCAGTTATCAGAGCCAATATATCCTGGTTTTGCTTAAGGGAGCTTTTTGTTGTTGTTGTTTTCTGTCACTTGCAACCAACAAGATCCTGACAGGTACAATCTATAAGACAAGAAGCATAAGGTTAGCTGGACATAGTGGCACATACCTGTAACTCAGCATTTGGGAGGCTGAGGGAGAAGGATCAGCATGAGTTCAAGGCAGCCTGGGCTCCATAGTGAATTCAAGGCCAGCCTGAACTACATAATGAGTCCCTGTCTCAAAATGAGAAGGAGAAGAGGAGCAGAAACAGAAAGAGGAAGAATCTGAAAGAGAAGAAGCATAGAGTTGAAGATAAAATCATACAATCTAGTTTTAATTTACCTTCATTTAATCTTTGATATAATTATGACATGTAAGTAAGGGAAATAGTTTTATTGTCCCATTGAAGAGGTGATAGATAAAATTATATACTCATTATGTTGAGTAAATTTCCCAAGGTCTTTTAGCTAATAGACAATAGAGTTTGGGATTGGCAACATACTGATTTGGGAAATTAGGAAACTAAACAAAATCAGTACGCCAAAACATGACAGTTAACCAGGTCTATTTGCTAGAGTTGTCATGAGAATAATTTTAGAAAATTATTTAATCCCTCAAGCACTTTCTGTTTACATCTGTTAATGTAATTTCATTCTGCTACTGGTCATATTTACAACTATATACAGTTTTTCATATTTATGGAGAGAAAAAATATCTGTAAGAAACAAATTCAGTTGATCAATAAGAATTTATAAAGTATGAGACTGAGGATATAGGTCAGTAATTAAGCACTTGCCCAGAATGTGCAAGGCCCTGTGTTCAAGCCCAAGCAATAACAACAACAACAACAACAATAATTTAAAAATGGTTGGAAACTGCTCCATTAGCTCTCATCTCATTTTCTCAGCTCTGTGCCTTTGGTTTTCCAGGGCTGCCTACTGAGCTCCCTACCTGATAGGAGAGTTTGACAATTCTTGCTACAAAAGTCAGTGTTGAGAGAGGGAGCATTTAAACAGCCCTGAATTTCCTACTTCCAAGCATAAGGTACTCTTCTGGCCTGGGAATCCCAGAATTGAGATACACTCAAGTACGTTCAGACAGAGAGAGACTGATAGATTAGTTTCTTCCATTGTCTGTTCCAAATTCTCCACTGCCTCACTCTGTCTACCTACTGATGTGTGAGTATCTCTTACTGAAAAATTTAGGGACACATTTTCACCTCATTTGTTCATTCATTTATGCAA